CTTTGACCCGCTTACATGCATGTAGGATAGGCATAAAACAGCCAACCAAGCCATGGAATGCCCCATTAAGATGGCAAAGTAAGGCATAAGAAGTAAGTAAACTTTCGTCCGTGGTTCCTGGATCTGACGATGTTTGTCACATGACGGACGGAAGTTCGACACGGAGCCATTGGAGTCGTAGGACGGTGAGCCGACATCAGGTAGGAAAATGATCCCAAAGGCGCATTAAAGCTGTTAGCCTATTTGAAATTGAAGGATCAACAAATGGCGTTGGCTAGCATAGTCTTCCCACCATTCACAAGACCTTTTTGACTGTCAGCACTTGATGGAATATATTAGTGAGAAATTATGTAATCCTGTTTGAAAATCATCAATTGAGTAAAAAGTTGCATTAGCCATGTTTATATATATTTGAGACAATAATGGATAGCACTAACATAATAAAGTATCTAGAATAGGGCAAAAGGGAAGTGTGCATAAAGGCTCATAAGTAGTAAATCTATATTATTATTTTGGATAAGGCAAAAGGATTGAGGAAGCGTATAGAGTAAAAAGCGTAATAAAAAATATTTCAAATATGCGTAACTTGCCGTTAGCCAGAAATATAGTACCGGCTGCTTCTTTATCGTACCACTCATGGCCATGGGACAATTTTCGGTTGACGCAAGCCGGCTGGCAGTGTTCGGCAAACGCACGTAGTGCCACTGAAACATTATGAATCTTTTGGAGACGAGAAATGGCGGGGAATCGAATCAACAGCATAAGGCTGCCAGGTAACACGCCAGTAGTTCCCACTTCAAACGAATCCTGGGTTTCTTCGGAGTTTTCTCGAGCTGTAGAATCGCCAGGTAGTTGAACAGGGCTTCGAAGAGTCCGTGACAAGCAGTTAGTGGAAAGTAATACTTCAGCAAGTTTACTGTTGGGCAGATGAAAAAATAAATATAATCCAAATGGATGCACAAAATTGAGTAGTCGTGAAAATAAGCATCATTTTTTTTATTTTCATTTTTCAAATAGGAAGTCGAAGGAAATATAAAGATTAATAAAAATGGTACTGGCATCAACTGGATGATGTGGGAATCAAAGTTATAGAAAAAATAATAGCTATTGCTCGTATATAATTACACATATATGATGCTAGTTAAAGAAACACTGGAAATGGTAAAAGAAGCTATTCATATGATGAATTGTGTAGTGAAATAAAATAGCCAGGTATGAATAAGAATGGGCATTAATGACAGGAACTAGAAAGATTAAATGATGATTAAAGGATGCATAAATGCTAACATTTTAAGTCAATCGTTGAAATGATTAAATATATCTCTCTTTGAATAACATAGCAATCGTCAACATAGGAAGGTGAGCTTATTTGCTTTGCTAATCCCCTTGAG